GCCCGAAGGCTGGGAGTTTCGGGGGGTTCGGACGTACCCCCCACAAGCTTAAAAGGTCCGGTGTTTCTCCTTTTTATTGTTCTATTTTAAAATTCTTTTGTTATGAATAGCATTTTGTTGAAATGAACTGCTCATTCTAGCAGACAGTTCTTACACATTGCATTGAACTAATTTAGTTATTTAATAGGTCCTCATTAAAACGGGTCTGATTTATACGGTTAATTCTGTCAAGAACGGATCCTTACTTGCTGCACATCCTCGTTTGCTTCTTTCACGTCCTCTAAATGTTGTTTGATTTCAGCCACGTATGTTTTCATGTTTTTTACACTTTCTTTTGCTTCTGCTGCTTTCCGTTTACAGTTATCAAATGTCTCTACGGCGGTCCATACAGCAAGAGCTAAAGAATGGATATAAGTACATTTTGAGTGAAGAAAACCGGTGMGCAAGATTTTCTGAAAACCAGTACTTAGCAGGGTCGTGACATGTGGGACTGATTAGGGATCAACCTTATTTTTTGGGATCAGGGATCAAACGTTTTGCTTTAGAATCGGGATCACAAGCACTGGGTTCAGCCTTATAATTTGCAAATATAAATGCATGTGATCATTCATATGTATAATTAGTGGAATCAAGGTTGGAATTTCAACAAAAATGTGTGATCAGGTATTAAATTTTTGGTCAAAAAACGGAATCGCTAATAAAAAAATATGCAATCGCCATAGAATTACTTTATGGGTATTTGATTTAACTTGCCAAGATACTCTTCCTCACTAAAGACTTCCTGCACTCTAAACATGTAAGAATGATCACTATAGAATAGCACGTCCTTACCTGCTGTTCCAAGCTTCACAAGCCCTTTCAGACCAGACTTTGCAAGATCAAAAAGCCGYTTTGCTTTAGTGAACTTAGGAGCAACTTTACTGATGATTCGATTAAGCTTTGCAGTTATTTTTGTTTTTAATTTTCCYAAGATTCCCTTTGARAATATTTTGGCCAAAGTGCTCTTTCCTTTAGCTGATAGAGGTTGAGTTACTTTTGAACGGAATTTGTCGACGAACTGAAATCAATCATAA